ATATGTCTTTGTGGGGACTTTATATGTGTCTTTGTGGGGAATTTATATGTGACCTTGTGGGGACTTTATATGTGTCTTTGTGGGGACTTTATATGTCTTTGTGGGGACTTTATATGTCCCTGTGGGGACTTTATATGTCTTTGTGGGGACTTTATATGTCCCTGTGGGGACTTTATATGTCTTTGTGGGGACTTTATATGTGTGGGGACTTTATGTGTGGGGACTTTATGTGATGTGGGGACTTTATATGTGTCTTTGTGGGGACTTTATATGTGACCTTGTGGGGACTTTATTTATATGTGTCTTTGTGGGGACTTTATATGTGACCTTGTGGGGACTTTATATGTGTCTTTGTGGGGACTTTATATGTGTCTTTGTGGGGACTTTATATGTGTCTTTGTGGGGACTTTATATGTGTCCTTGTGGGGACTTTATATGTGACCTTGTGGGGACTTTATATGTGTCCTTGTGGGGACTTTATATGTGTCCTTGTGGGGACTTTATGTGTCCTTGTGGGGACTTTATATGTGTCCTTGTGGGGACTTTATGTGTCCTTGTGGGGACTTTATGTGTCCTTGTGGGGACTTTATATGTGACCTTGTGGGGACTTTATATGTCCCTGTGGGGACTTTATATGTGTCCTTGTGGGGACTTTATATGTGTCCTTGTGGGGACTTTATATGTGGGGACTTTATATGGGTGGGGACTTTATATGTGTCTTTGTGGGGACTTTATATGTGACCTTGTGGGGACTTTATATGTCCCTGTGGGGACTTTATATGTGACCTTGTGGGGACTTTATATGTCCCTGTGGGGACTTTATATGTGACCTTGTGGGGACTTTATGTGTGTCTTTGTGGGGACTTTATATGTGTCTTTGTGGGGACTTTATATGTGACCTTGTGGGGACTTTATATGTCTTTGTGGGGACTTTATATGTGACCTTGTGGGGACTTTATATGTCCCTGTGGGGACTTTATATGTGACCTTGTGGGGACTTTATATGTCCCTGTGGGGAATTTATATGTGACCTTGTGGGGACTTTATATGTGTCTTTGTGGGGACTTTATATGTCTTTGTGGGGACTTTATATGTGACCTTGTGGGGACTTTATATGTGACCTTGTGGGGACTTTATATGTCCCTGTGGGGACTTTATATGTGACCTTGTGGGGACTTTATATGTCCCTGTGGGGACTTTATATGTGACCTTGTGGGGACTTTATATGTGTCTTTGTGGGGACTTTATATGTGTCTTTGTGGGGACTTTATATGTGACCTTGTGGGGACTTTATATGTGACCTTGTGGGGACTTTATATGTGTCTTTGTGGGGACTTTATATGTCTTTGTGGGGACTTTATATGTGTCTTTGTGGGGAATTTATATGTGACCTTGTGGGGACTTTATATGTGTCTTTGTGGGGACTTTATATGTCTTTGTGGGGACTTTATATGTCCCTGTGGGGACTTTATATGTCTTTGTGGGGACTTTATATGTCCCTGTGGGGACTTTATATGTCTTTGTGGGGACTTTATATGTGTCTTTGTGGGGACTTTATATGTGACCTTGTGAGGACTTTATATGTGTCTTTGTGGGGACTTTATATGTGACCTTGTGGGGACTTTATATGTGTCTTTGTGGGGACTTTATATGTGACCTTGTGGGGACTTTATATGTGTCTTTGTGGGGACTTTATATGTGTCTTTGTGGGGACTTTATATGTGACCTTGTGGGGACTTTATATGTGACCTTGTGGGGACTTTATATGTGTCTTTGTGGGGACTTTATATGTCTTTGTGGGGACTTTATATGTGTCTTTGTGGGGAATTTATATGTGACCTTGTGGGGACTTTATATGTCCCTGTGGGGACTTTATATGTGACCTTGTGGGGCCTTTATATGTCCCTGTGGGGACTTTATATGTGTCTTTGTGGGGACTTTATATGTGACCTTGTGGGGACTTTATATGTGACCTTGTGGGGACTTTATATGTGTCTTTGTGGGGACTTTATATGTGACCTTGTGGGGACTTTATATGTCCCTGTGGGGACTTTATATGTGACCTTGTGGGGACTTTATATGTCCCTGTGGGGACTTTATATGTGACCTTGTGGGGACTTTATATGTGTCTTTGTGGGGACTTTATATGTGTCTTTGTGGGGACTTTATATGTGACCTTGTGGGGACTTTATATGTCCCTGTGGGGACTTTATGTGTCTTTGTGGGGACTTTATATGTGACCTTGTGGGGACTTTATATGTGTCTTTGTGGGGACTTTATATGTGTCTTTGTGGGGACTTTATGTGTGTCTTTGTGGGGACTTTATATGTGTCTTTGTGGGGACTTTATATGTGTCTTTGTGGGGACTTTATGTGTGTCTTTGTGGAGACTTTATATGTGTCTTTGTGGGGACTTTATATGTGTCTTTGTGGGGACTTTATGTGTGTCCTTGTGGGGACTTTGTGTGTCCTTGAGGGGACTGTGTGTGTCCTTGAGGGGACTTTGTGTGTCCTTGAGGGGACTTTGTGTGTCCTTGAGGGGACTTTGTGTGTCCTTGAGGGGACTTTGTGTGTCCTTGTGGGGACTTTGTGTGTCCTTGTGGGGACTTTATATGTGTGCTTGTGGGGACTTTGTGTGTCCTTATGGGGACTTTGTGTGTCCTTGTGGCGACTTTATTTGTCCTTGTGGGGACTTTATATGTGTCTTTGTGGGGACTTTGTGTGTCCTTGTGGGGACTTTATATGTCCTTGTGGGGACTTTATATGTGTCTTTGTGGGGACTTTATATGTGTCTTTGTGGGGACTTTGTGTGTCCTTGAGGGGACTTTGTGTGTCCTTGTGGGGACTTTATATGTCCTTGTGGGGGACTTTACATGTGTCTTTTTGGGGACTTTGTGTCCTTGGAGACTTTACATGTGTCTTTGGGGATTTTACATATGTCCTTAGGGACTTTACATGTCCTTGGGGACTTTACATGTCCTTGGCGACTATATATATATATATATATATATATATATATATATATACATACATACAACCTTAGAACACTTTCCCACCAGGAGATTCGAACCCTAGCCAACACAGAAGCCTTCCAGCAACTGGCATAACAGGTACGCCTTTAACCCACTGCACCACAGCTCAGACCCTTAAAAAAGATGGTAATTTCGGAGTATTTCACCTCCCCCCCCCCCAAAGATCACCACCTCCCAAGGGCAACTAGAGCATAGTGAGGGGCTACTCACGTTCTTTCATGAAATTCCTGTTAATGCACAACTTGCCTAAACACGCAAGAGAGATTATACAACCTTAGAACACTTTCCCACCAGGAGATTCGAACCCTAGCCAGCACAGAATATATATATATATATATATATATATATATATATATATATATATATATATATATATATATATATATATATATGAGGCACAACTCTCCTAAACACGAGAGTGAAGTTATACAACTTTAGAACACTTTCCCACCAGGAGACTCGAACCCTAGCCAGCACAGAAGCCTTCCAGCAACTGGCATAACAGGTACGCCTTTAACCCACTGCACCACCACTCAGACCCTTAAAAGAGATGGTAATTTTGGAGTATTTATACACACCAAAGACCACCATCTCCCAAGAGCACTAGAGCAAGTGAGGGGTCATTTTACGTTTTTCATCAAGTCCCTGTTAATATGGGAGAACACTGTGTCTGTGCTTGAGGCACAACTCCTAAACACGACTCTCGTAGTGGGTTAAAGGCGTACCTGTTATGCCAGTTGCTGGAAGGCTTCTGTGCTGGCTAGGGTTCGAGTCTCCTGGTGGGAAAGTGTTCTAAAGTTGTATATATATATATATATATATATATATATATATATATATATATATATATATATATATATATATATATATATATATATATATATATATATATATATATATATATATATATATTATATATATATATATATATATATATATATATATATATATATATATATATATATATATATATATATATATATATATATAATGTATATGTCGTACCTAGTAGCCAGAACGCACTTCTTTGCCTACTATGCAAGGCCCGATTTGCCTAATAAGCCAAGTTTTCACGAATTAATTATTTTTCGACTACCTAACCTACCTAACCTAACCTAACTTTTTCGGCTACCTAACCTAACCTATAAAGATAGGTTAGGTAGGGTTGGTTAGGTTCGGTCATACATCTACGTTAATTTTAACTCCAATAAAAAAAATTGACCTCATACGTAATGAAATGGGTAGCTTTATCATTTCATAAGAAAAAAATTAAAGAAAATATAATAATTCAGGAAAACTTGGCTTATTAGGCAAATCGGGCCTTGCATAGTAGGCCAAAAAGTGCGTTCTGGCTACTAGGTACGACATATATATATATATATATATATATATATATATATATATATATATATATATATATATATATATATATATATATATATATATATATATATATATATATATATATATATATATGTGTGTGTGTGTACAGAAGCTACTAAGTTAAACAGTCAAACTTAAAGAAACTTAACAACATGGCTAACAACAAGTATATGTATGTACTCACGTTGCCATTCTAATCCACGAAACTGGTAGTTATTTTACCATAGACTTTCTATATCACAAGACTAACAGGTAGATCAGAAACACAGAATAATCACAGTAACGTGACTGTATTAAGAAGAAAATCCATAAGAGTTGTGAAGAGGATTCGAACCTACGCACAGGGTGTTGCCTGCCATCAGTATTACTCCAGGTTGCAATAATTTTACCATGTCGAAGTCCAGTCGCCCGGAGCGTGTGCCGAGGAACACCCAGCACATTGGGTCGAATCCTCATCCTGGCTCCTATGGATTTTCTCACATAGGTTAGACATATATAGGAATGTGTTTGGGTGGATTCAAATTGCTACTCATTATAGTGAGACTTTTCCAATAACGCATTCAGTAAATTGTTCAACTTATTTCAGGTGAAGGACATCCGAGGCAGTGAAGCAGGATATGGCTGCACAAGATAGAGCACTATATGACCGTGCATTACGACTGAAGCTGTCTGAAGCGGGCCTTATTAGATACAGCTACCCACGGCCTCACCCCTGGGAGGACGGCAAGGCTGAGGTGAGGAATGCCGAAGATGCGCTGTACCCTCTCGTCCCTAGCGATGGCATTCGCAACTGTGATCGGTGCAAAACGGTGTACCATATAGATGATGAAGGACGTCCACTCACCTCCAGTGTTTGTCGATACCATTTTGGCAGACTCTACGGCTCCCCCGTAAAGCGCTATCGCTGTTGTCAACAAAAGAGTAACGCCGCTCCCTGCAAGATAGCATCCCAGCACGTAACAGCGGATATAGACCTTGATAATCTAAGTGGATTTTGCCACACTCAGCAAAGTGATAATGACGAAAAATCCATTTATGCCTTGGACTGTGAGATGATCTACACCACAGAGGGAATGGTCGTGGGAGCAATCTCTGTGGTCAACACTGACTACCAAGTGGTTTATGAGACGCTTGTGAAACCTGAGAACATCGTAGACTACAACACCGAGCACTCTGGACTAACTGCCACACAATTCCAAGATGTTACGACGAACCTTCAAGATGTCCACTCCAAACTGTTGTCTTTGTTTGGGAGTAAAACCATTCTCGTGGGCCACTCCCTAAATAATGACTTCCTACGGTTGAAACTGATTCATGACCTTGTTGTAGACACAATAATAATGTACCCTCACTCAAGAGGCCTTCCCTTCCGCAACTCGCTGGCATATCTGAAAGAGCGTTACTTGAAACCCAGCTTAAGTACCAGCTTGAATTTCAAATGTCGAGACGATGCCATCGCCGCCATGAAGCTTTTCCGCCGCAGGTTTTGAGTAGAAGGTCCACTAAGCTGCTGTGCCACAAGTTGTTAGTGAAAGGTCCACTAAGCTGGCATGCAGCAAGTCCTAAGTAAAAGGTCCAGTAAGCTGGTTAGCGCAAGATTCTCGCACAATGACTTGTTAAATTATTTAAGAGCTATTATCTTCTAGTGTGATTACAAGCTAAGCTTGAATAACTGCTATTATGTGATAAAAAAGTATTGTATGCAGCGTTATTTGTAAGTTCATAGTCTTTACATGATGAAAATCTTTGGGGCAAAAAGGGTAATCGAACCAGCGTGCTGGGGTAACCTCAGACAAGCACTCCGATCGATCCGCTCCAATGATTTTCTTAGATATCACGTTATTGTGACTTCTAGTAAATTTACGTGACGTAAATCATTGGAGCTGGACGGGAATCGAACCAGCGTCCTGAGTCACCCAGACGCGTGCACTGTTCTCATACAAACATCATCCAATTGTGATTTTGTTTTAGTATTTACACATCTTGGATTGACTGACAATTGTGAAGTTTCATCTTGATCCATGTATTAACATTGAGAACTTGGTGACCAACTTACTTGAATACAAGTAATTTACAATACATTTTTTTTTTACAATAATTTTTATAATAATTACATAATTTTTACATAATTATAATTTTTTATAATAATTTTAATAATACAATTTTTTTTTTTTACAATTTACAATACAATTTAGAATACAAGAATTTATATATAGAAATTTTAACTATTGGGCATCAAATGTTATTCTTCAGCTTTGTATTGCCGTGTTAAGCCTCATATTAAGCAGTTCAGTTTTGGTTAGTTTGTTGCAGGTTTGGTTATGATGTTTAGTGTTCCTATTTTGTTTACCAAAGTCCATCATTTTGTACATCCATAGTCGCTATAGGTACTATAACTTTGGAAAGCTGGGTCAATATAGAGAGTAAGTCACAACAACCTAGCTGAACATTAGACACAGGTTATGACCCAGCCTAACCAGTTAAAACTGGACACGCTCTGGTCGTACCTTAATTGTCAATGTACCATTATTACCATATAAATTTTAGCCTATC